CCACTTGGGTTGACAAGCTAAATGACAGTGAATAGACTATTTGGCTTCTATTTGGGTTTTTTTCACTGGCAAACCTGCAGCAGTGGGACTGGGAGTGTGTCCCTGGAAGTTGCAACACTAAGGTCTATCAGTGTCTTGCTATAGTACCAGAGGTATCATCTGTTAGCTGGACATGGGAATTCATTCATGTGCCAGACAGGAAGAATCAGTTTGTTCATGCAGCCTAAGCCTATGTGCTCAGCCCAGTGACTAGTACAGTGAGAGACAGTCCACTTCCATCAAAATACAGGAAAATTTTCAATGACAATTTCCAGTAGGCTCACTCCCTTCTCATTTTCCCACTACACTTTAAAATGCAGGCCTTGACCCCTATGATCCTTTGAGAGAGTCTCATTTTCCAGTAGTTGCAAGAGCAGTAGTTGCAGCTGTGAACTTGGAATGATACAGTCAAACACTTCTTCAAAAAACAGTCCAAAAGCCATCAGAAAAAATCCACAAGAATCTTTGGTAATTGGAAATGGGTTTGTTAATTCATTGCACAACTCTTATTTTTTAATTAATTTTATCAGCGGCAAAAGATCCAAGATAAATTTTCTTTACTGGCTTTATTCCTTAACTCAGAGCTTTTGTTCTGTAACAGATGACTTTTTTTGTAATCGATGGTGAAGAACACAATGGAGCACAAAAATAATCTTGCCCAGAGGTTCCTCATGATCATCACTGTGGCTTTAACATGCCACAACACCCAAGCTCATCACACTAAATTTGGGGGATTCTCTGCACCATTTCCATTATCTAGACTTGGCATTCAGGGACTCCAGCAAACAAGGATCTGTGTTCTGTTCATGAGAAAAGAAAAGAAAAAACCCAAAACATCACACCAGAACTTTGACAATCTTAAATTTGGATACAACCCTGATATCTAGATAGATATTCTGATAGATAGATAGATATTCTGATCTATTTCTAATCAAAGGGCAAAACTTCCAAAAAACCATACATGTTGAAACATACTGAATAAGTAGGGCCCTCTAGTCTTTTAGCTTTAAGGACTAACATTTATTGCACAAGCCAATGCACTGTAAGTAGCTGTCTTAGGGCACAGACAATGTACATTTTAGTTGCCTTAAAAGGTCAGGGGGAGCTGCTGCTGCTTGTATGATCCAATAGTGATAGCACCCTTTGACCCTCCATAAAAGGTGAAGGTTGAAACAATTTTGCTACTCTTGTACTACTGCAGAATCATGGAAAAGGACACAGCACAGGGAATGTCCAACCTTTTTGAATGTGGGGCTGGATCGTGAACTTTATCACACAGTGGGCCAGGGAGCCATATTCAAATATCCTCTGTCCTGGGCCAGAGAGACCCTGCCTGTGTAGCCCTATTGCCCCTGCCTGTTACTGCAAGGTTCATGGTAGCTGCTGGTGGGCAGGGGCAGGAGGGACCCATTCTGCATCCAGCCAGCTACTGCCCCAGAGACTGAAAGGGAGAAATAAATAGCTCCACATCTCCATCCCCCGAGCAGTGCAGCCCCACAAACTGGCGCTGCCTGAGGGGGGCTGGAGCGAGGCAGCCGCTGCACCGCAGCCCCTCACCCACCCGCCTGCATGGCCCCGCTCACCGTGGTGCCCAGCCACCCATGCACGCAGCCCCAGTGGCCTCAGCACTGTGAGCCCAGAGTGCAGGGTCCAGCAGACACCGCCTCCCACCGCCTCGCCCTGCAAAGGTCATGCCAGGACCCCACCTGCCAAGTGCCCCCTGTGCTGGCTTCCCATGTGCTGCTGGGGACAGGAGGAGGCCGGCCAAATGGGCACCATCCAGCAGAAGTGGCAGCGGAGCTGCGTGCTGCTTGGGACTGACCGGTGCAGGCAGGGGGAAAATGCTTTTCTCCGGGGCATCGTGCCTCCATGTTTCACTGCCCCCACACCCACCCACCCACACTTCCCCAGTTCCCCCTGCCCAACATTGGCTTCAGGTCCTAGCCTGCTGCCCCCCTGCCTCTCCCTGGCCATCCTGGTACCTGGAGGGCCCTGCTCCCAGGGGAAGTGCTGGCCGGCCCGATCCTGGCTGCAGGAGAGGCTCCACACATCAGGCTTCTCAGGCGCACAGGGGCAGATGCTTGCCGGGCAGTGCCGCCCCGAGGCGCCTCAGGCAGGCCCCCAGGGCTGGGCAGACCCCACCCGCAGGCTCCGGCGGGGGGAGAAGCAGGCCGGAGGTTTGCCTGGTGAACTTGGAGCCAGCTCCATCCCCTCCATGTGCCGCACTAGCAGTTACCCATTGGAGCCCAGGGGCAGGTGCCTGCCAGGCCCTGCCGCCCCCAGGCACTTCGGGCAGCCCCACCAGGCCGGGCAGCCCCGTCCTGGAGGCTCCGGTGCGGGGGAGCAGCAGGCTGGAGGTTTGACTGGTGGACTCGGAGCCGGCTCCATTGACTGACCGGTGCAGGCAGGCGGCTGCTTTTCCTGGCCGGTGCTGACCCAGCTGGGTCCGTCCCATCTGGAGCAGCATGCGGCTAAAGCCAGCTTCCCACAAGCTACTGGGAATGGGAGGAGTCTGTGCCAGACGGGACGGGAGGAGCCCGGCCAGAGCAGCAGGGGGTCACGCTCACTTTTCCCATCT